TCTTGGTTTAACGTATATTACAACTTTCATTTAGATATCTAAGGCTAAAAATTAGTTTATCAAAAATTCGCTTTTTACGTTACGCGATGTCGTGCCAGTTTCGCCGTAAAACTTCGATGGGCCATAACTTCTTCGTTATAACTCGGATTTCGGCGTTCTTTATATGTACGGAACCCTTGTAACAGATACTATAACTTGGTTAAGATTAATCCTTATAAATAATCTTCCATCAAAAACTCATTTTTGATGCTCATTGTCTCTAAATTGACTAGCACAGATCTGCGGGCGTTACAGCTTAGCACCTCAAATGTTTCACAAAACACCAAGAACAAATGGAGGATTATAAGGGAGAGATTAGAGGCACCAAAATCGGCTACATTCTGCTTAGAATGCACAAGTGCCGATTTTAGGGCTTAGGGGTTATGTAAACCCTAATTCTTACACTTAGGCTTATGATCCAACAATTGATTTGGACTAACACTTCATGGACTATCTCATAAGCTTAGTCCATCACAAATCAATCATGGATCATTAGCCCAAACCATATGTATCACTGATTTACACAATCAGTCCTCGTTAATTTAATAAGTCTCTTTTGATCACTAAATTAATTCCAAATTAATTCTTGATAAATACTAATTAAATAATATGATTTCTATATTAATATATTATACTTATAATATATTAATAAATCACAAATAACCTCTTTCTCAAATATCTATCCTATCAAATTGTTCTGGTGAATGCAACCCAAAATGGACCATGCTACTATCGGGTCAAGTACATACCAATTATAGTTATGGGCTTAGACACCTAATCCAACAGTAAGGGGCTGGAGGAAACGACTTAAGGTCCTTTAAATAGGGTGAAAACCATAAAAATTAGGGTTTCCATGCACAGACTCTACTCGTCGAGTCGGGGTCCTCCGACTCATCGAGAAGGAATCATAAACCACGCGGGCCAACTAGGTTCGACACGACGAGTTGGGGCCTCCAACTTGTTGAGTTCCCTCAGTAAATTGAATATAAAGCTTTTGAAAATTATACCTGGGAGTCGGGGTGTTACAGATCATATCAACCACTATCTTCCGACCGCCACTGCCATACAAATTCAGTCTAACCACACCATTACCACCATTAAGAACCACTACACGTCTATAGCCACCAACCAAACTCAACACCAAACTTACCCAACATAGACAGACTCAATTCAAAGAAGAACAAATGATAGGGACATGATCGACATACACACACCCTTTATCAAAGGAACAAGATTGGGATTTTCAATGTGGCAATCTCCCTTTTTATCTGCAACAAATCAATATTATCCATATCATAATAGATTCAGTTCAAATTTGAAGATTATTATTAAAGTCTTGAAACACATTCCAAATCAAAATTCACAACTCATAACTGTATAAAATCTAATGAAACATCAATTCTTTTACTAAATTGAAGATGGAAGAGTAATGGAATAGAATGGATTCAGAATCGAAATCCACATGATTCCCATTAACATATTTGAACTCAACATCCATTAGAGTATCCAACTTAACAACAACAACGCTGGTAGGAATACCCAAATACGCACCAGTATCGCTGACATCTTCATCATTCAACAATACAACAAAATCCAAACCACCTTCAATCGAACCTAGATTCAAATTAACAATCGATAATGAAAAACACTTTGAGAAACTTTTCGGATTAGGGCTCCCAGGTCGTCGAAATCTAACAGGCTCGTTGTACAAATCTAACAGACTCTCTACCCGGGTAACGCCATAATCCTCATCCATGTCCGTCCTACTTCCGTTCTTTACGGTGGCAACAACCGATGATGACGTAGATAACCTAGAGAAATCATGATAGGGAAAGGGCTCAAGCAAAGCACTACATGAAAAACAGGAAAAATAGCTTGTAAAGATTCATTAGGAGCAATTAATGGGTCTAATTTCTCAAATAAGTTTGCTCTTATAGGAAACCACACTCTTTCTCTCCCTCCATACCAAATCGGAGTGAAATGGGATGATTGAGAATGACAACGAGTGAGGTGTGAGAAGGAATGGAGAGAGAGAGAGAGAGAGAGAGAGAGAGAGAGAGAGAGAGAGAGAGTTTTGGATCTAATTGAAAGAGCGTTGGAAGGTGAAGGATCGATTAATATGCAGTAGCGTCTAAGGGATGGAAGGAAGCTCGCATGGTTTTGAGTTTTGAGTCGTAAAGATGAAGGCATAAAGCAGAAAACATGAAGGCTGATGAGAAAGAGAGAGAGAGAGAGAGAGAGAGAGAGAGAGAGAGAGATATGTGGGCCCTTTGTATATTTAATAATTATAAAATACTTAAGAAAATGAAAGAAAAATAGAAAATAAATACCCCAAGGGTATTAAAGTCATTTCAATTTAGTGGAGGACCAAATCTACAACGAAACTAGCTTAAAATGACCACGAAGCCAAAAAAGTTGAGGTTTGGACTAAACCTTAGAAAAAATACATACCACATGGACCATTTTTGCAATTTTTTCTTTTTTTAAATAATGTCAATAAAAAGTTTGTTTGAAGGGTTTTTAAAAAGTTGTAAAAAAATAATTTTGGGACAATTTTGTAATAAAAAATGCTTGGATCAAATTTGTAACAAAGTTTAAAATTTGGGCCAAAATTATAAATATATAAATGACTTGCTACACTTGCAATAGCAGGTCAAATTAAGTTGACCCTGAGTTAGTTATATTTTTATACAATAAATTGGGTTTGTTAACAAGTTGAAGATTATTTGAATAATTTATTTTGTTAAATCAGCAATAACCCGTAAAATACTAAAATACTAAATAAATTAAACGAATCATCCATGGGGTATGGTTCAAGCTGCATGTTTCGACTCTATCTTTTGATTTTCATCCATATCATCCACATGATTTGAATTTATTTTGGTTTTGGTCTTAAATGGATATCAAAGATTAATTTATCTTTGTTGAATTTCTTTTACCTTTATATACTATTAATTTAATAAAAAAATATTAAGAAAATATGTAGGTCCATTTTCTTCTCTTATACCACCGATTACCACCACAACTACTACCACTTATTCTTAGACATAACCAACGCTAACTAGGCATGCACATTTATCATGCGGTGCGAAGATCAGAGAATTTTTTATGACTTCCATTCCATTTATCGATCCCGACCCATAAAAATGACTGACCAGCCCTTATTGATGAATGAAAAAAATGTTTTATGAGCCCTGTAAGCCCACACCTGAGATGTAGAACATCCATGGCACATTAGCATGACGTACTCCTCTTGTTCGAATAGAGTTTGAAACCAAACTTCTGAGGATAGATGGGGCGATTTAGATGAGATTCAAATGTAGATCCAACTTTAGATTCACTCGTGGGATACATGAAACATGCATAGACCATACTATAAGGAAGATTCATGTAATTTACTCTAAGATAATTTAAGAGAATGAGTAAATTACAATTTTGGTCCCTATATTTTACACCTATATGCAGTTTAAGTCCAAGGTTTCAAAAAATAATGTGCTTTGTCCCAATGGTTTCCAAATGTTACACGCATGGTCCCTAAGACTGTTACTGTCTAAAAAACAACACTAAGTATATGTGAAATGATGAGATTGTCGTTTTTTGTCCTTTTATTACTTTGTTTATTTTTTTATTAAGGAACAAAACTATAATGTATTCTAAGAGAAATCACAAAGGGTAGCAAGTCATTTGAGCAAAATATGACATCTAAATGGTTGAGCAGTAGAAGTTTACTAAGGATTGCCTAGTTGAGGACATCGGTAATTGTAAGTAATCGTTGGAGAAAGGTGAGAGTAAAACGCGATTTTCAAAAGTCCAATCCCAAAACAAGATCCGTTTATAACTCTAATGAATTATCTTGTATTTTTAAATCTACAAAACCATCACCTTATTATTCTACTTATTTAAAAATGTGTATTCTTCTACTTCTAGAGAAAATGATAGTAAATTTAATAGTAACTGTAAATTTTTACAATTAAAGCTATAACTTATAAGCAATTTTTTAGGTTGTCTTACGTGAAAGTACATCGTTAAAGATTGTATCAGCTTAAGGTAGTATCAAGAAGGAGCTCAAAAAGTATTTTATCAATTAAATATTTATTTTAATCTAAACATAAGTCTATGATCTGCTACTAAACTTGTAATTTCGGTAATAGATAAACTATAAACAAAAAACGTTATGTGCAAACTGTCACGTGGGTATCTTAAATTTTGTTCGACCTTAAAAGCTATTTATTTCAGAAAATAGCATATTAAAATTTAAATTAAAAAACACAAATTAAGATTCTGTCATTAACTTAATTATCACATTTATGAACTTGTTGACTTGTTACCACATTTCGCGAACTTGTAAATTTGTGATCTAAGAAAATTATTTTTTTAACACTGTTAGTTTTATAAAATATAATTTTATATTAATTGCTAGATTATAAAATACAAATACTATCAACTTATATTATAAGAATCCCCTAAATTAAACATCATATGTTATACCATGCCAATTGCATATAAATTAATTGATGTATCTAAAATGTTCACTTCAAAATGTAAATATAAAACATAAATATTTTTAAGGCTACTAAAACATTTTTCCATAAATACAAATTATGCTTGTATATTCTTTCCCCTATTTATAACTTCACATTTTCTTTTAATAGTACAAACCATATCATAAATGAAATCTATTTATCTACCTACTGATGAGTTATATTCACCGATAGTATTCAATATCTCTTTCAAAAATAGAAATCCACCATATGTTTTTGGCTGGTTGCCTGCCACCTTCCCCCACCCTGCACACCGTCATCAATAAACAGTGTGTCACGAAGAGTAAGATTACAGCAACAAAACCTTGGAGTCAGCGACAATGTTCCAAGAATCACTCTGATCAGTTTACGTTTACATTTACATGTTTCCACTCCATTACAAGTGTATTCTTCTCTGTCATCTCCACCGCTTCCGCCACCCTTCATTCAAATAAACCAACATCTCCGCCATGTTTTAGTCTCACACACACACACACACACACACACCCACCAAAAGCTTCGACGACAATGGAGGGCATCTCTGTCTACAAGCTTTTAGCTTTCTTCATTATCTTTACTCACCTGAATCTGATTAAGGGCACTGTGACATATGATCAGAGATCGTTAATCATCAATGGCCAAAGGAGAGTCCTCATTTCTGGCTCCATACATTACCCCAGAAGCACCCCTGAAGTAATTCTTTTTATACTCTTTTTGCTTATAAACTGAATTTTCTTTGTAATTTGTGTTCGTGTTCTTGATGTGTTGTGCTGCAGATGTGGGAAGATCTTGTAATTAAAGCGAAAAATGGAGGATTAGATGTCATTGATACCTATGTGTTTTGGAATGTTCATGAGCCTTCCCCTGGTATTGTAAGTTGTGTAAGCAGAGGTCTTTTCTCCATTAAAGCGTGTGTTGATTTCAAATTTTGCTGAAAGTTTTCTTCTTTTTTCAGTATGATTTCAGTGGAAGATATGATCTTGTGAGGTTTATAAAAACAGTAGCAAGAAATGGACTTTATGTGAATTTACGCATTGGACCTTATGTTTGTGCTGAATGGAATTTCGGGTACTTTAAATTTTCTCAAGATCCACCTTTCGTGGTGTTTTATTTCTAGCACCTTTTGTTTTTACAGTTTCTTGATGTTTGACTTTTCAAGTTTCAAGTTTTTGTTGACTTTCTGTGTAGGGGTTTTCCTGTATGGTTAAAATATGTTCCTGGTATCAGCTTCAGAACAGACAATGAACCATTTAAGGTTTTATTTTTTCTCATTCAGAGTTTTCATGGAGGAATATTGTTGTACGACAAATATAACCCTGACTTTGTGGCTTAATTACTTGATGTTAATAGGCAGCTATGCAAGGATTCACACAGAAAATAGTTGGGATGCTGAAGGCTGAAAACCTGTTTGAATCACAGGGAGGTCCAATCATCCTCTCACAGGTTCTAAGTGGTTTTATTTACCTTTCCTTTATAACAATTAGGGTTAAATGCAAGAAACATCAACATACTTTTTCTTTTATTTACTTATTATAGCATCATACTTTAACTTCTTTCTATTACAACATTCCATTATCAAAAAAAATTCCTATCATGACACTGTACATTGAAATGTCTTCCAATCATAACACTGTACTTTTTTTTCTTATTACGATATTGTGCTTAGAAAAATCTAATTGAAATTACATCGATATAGTTAGGTAGCTTTTACAAAGTACAGAAGAAATGAAAGTATAACGTATAACAAAAAAATATAACCGATCTTAGTTGCTATTTCTTGTATCTAACCCTAAGATTTATCTATCGTTGTTATAAAAAAAAACAAAAAACATGTCATTTTGGTTTATAGTGTTTCATTATTCATTTTAACTAGATTGAAAACGAGTATGGTGCACAAGGGAAGTCATTTGGAGCAGCCGGAAAAGCGTACATAAATTGGGCTGCAAAAATGGCTGTTGAACTAAACACTGGAGTCCCATGGTCCATGTGCAAGGAAGATGATGCACCCGACCCTGTGGTCAGTTTTC